AAAAACAGAAGTGGCTGTGTGTGAAAAAGATTGGGAAAAGAGGGGGAACGGAGAAGGTGAGCAATGAGAAGCAATGAGGAGCGACACAGAGGGGAACTCCTCAGGGGCAGGAAGGAAGGATATTGCAAGAGAAAGGCAAAGTCTTTCCCCTCCAATCCACAGGAGAATAGCCTAAGATGCCAGAAAAATGTTGCACAGCACTAAATCAAACCAGTTAAATCATCACGTGTTAATGACTCAGTTAACCCGCTTTTCCTCCTCCTTCCCCCTCCTTCCCTCTTCCTCTTCCTCTCTCCAAAGCATATACAGAGGCTCTGTCATCCCTCATTCATCCCCTCAGCGGACGGGAGATGGTGAGAGAGGGTTTGAGAAAATCGGATGATAAAAGGCAGTGAGTTCTTTCACATGACTCAGTCAGAAGTGTATTCGGCCAGAAAGATGTCAGTTTGTCCAGTCGGTGTCCGTTGTCACTGGCCATGGCCTGTTGGCTTTTTCTTTGGGTGTGCTGCTAAAAAATGAGAGCAATGTGTGTGCAAACTATGATGCTTTGCTTTTTTGGCTGCGTGGATTGCTCGCTTGAACGAGTAGAGATTAGAGTTGTTTGTTGCTGGGGCGGCTCCGCCACAAAAGCGCATTAAAAATGGATACGAATATTGGAGCCGTCAGAAAAGTGAGACACGCAAATAGCTGTACATGTTTGTATAATTATATATATGCAACTGCTTACATGTGATGCATGTGGTGTTTCGCTAAATGACTATTAAATGTAGTAGCTATCATCTTAGTGTGCATTTGTTAAACAAAAAGGCAAAAAAAGCTCCCAGTAGTCACTTAATGCACATAAACACAAAACTGCAGTTTTCTGACAGCGAACCACCTCCAGCTGCAGGGAGAAGTCAGATTGTGTAGAAGTGGGAGAGTAAAAGATTTTCCTGTGATAAAATAGCTCAGCCAACATTTTCTTAATGAGTATCTGGACTCGATTAGGAATTTGGAGTCTTATTCAATACAGCATGTTTATTTTGTTAAATGTGGTTCCCTTTAAAGTGGAACAGATGATAAAACGGGGGGTGCTTTGAGGTGGCGCTCCCTTGTGAGTGATGAGCTCCTGCCCTCAGCACGCGTAGTTTTTGCCGTTCCGTCAGAACCAGGGCTCCCATGTAACGTCTGCTCTAAAAGGAACCCGCAATGGCCTTACAGACTGCAGTCAAAGTGAATAAACCTCTTCTCAGGACAAAAAATATAAAAAAGTGCTTATTTTGTCTGACTAACCGTTGATAATCACCAAAATATGATGGAGACTTTAAATGAAGAAGCAGGGTCTTCCTTCATAAATCAATCTCCAGGGTACAACTTCCCTTAATACGAGAAAATACAGCAGATGCATTTGCTGTGTTCAACACATTACATTGATTTGTGTGCCTCTTTCAAGAGACTTACAAGTGAGAAGCGGCAGCTAATAAGGCACGCTGATATTCTTCAGTCATTAACACAATATGAGGTCCATGCGAAAAAATGAGATTTCTAATTTTGTTCCACTTGCAAATATTTAATAAAACAAGGAATGAACCACTGCAAAAAGGCCTCAAAATAACTACCGACAATAGTTATCACTAAAACATTACTGACACATCAACTCCAAGCTCTTTACAAATGGGATTTTGATTGAATTCATCATTAATTTTTTTCTTGCGCACAATGTTTCTCTTTGACTTTCACGATCAAATGGAAAACAATGACGAGCCAAGGTGGAAAGAAAACATGCTGGAGTTTAAAAAAAAAAAAGAGACGGGTATTTCTGCTACCTGGAAGCACCTTGTTGCCATTGACTGATGGTCAATCAAGGCAACTGACCTTATGTCTACTCCATTCACTGTTGCTTTCTAGTGAGTGCGTGCTCAAGACGGTGCAAAACAAACACACAAACAAACACACAAATAAACAAAACAATGCTGTATAAACAGTGCAGTAAATTAATGATCACCCATCAGAAATGGCTCCTTTCAGGTTTGAGCTGTTTTCCAAATGGAGGATCAGTTGCCTCTGTTCCTTTATCCTGTTTTTCCTCTACCTTCCACTCCCCCAGCCACCCCCCCCCCTCCCCCCCAGCCCCTTTTACTCTGCCTCTCTTGGCTGAGTGATAAACGCTGTCTGTTGGCCATAAATCCAGAGGGAGCCCTGACAGGCGTCCCAATAAAGTGCTCCATTTTCTCCCTGTTTGGTGGGTTTGTCAGGGGCCCAGAGGAAGTGAGATAACATTAGGAGGAGGAGGTGGAAGAGGAGCTGGTGGTGGAGGAAGAGACGCAATTTCATCAGCGCTGTGCACACAGGCACAGAAGCATCAGCGCACAGATGCACTCATCAGCAAACAATGGGAAAATGCGCAGGGAAGATGAAATACACCCAGCAACAGGGAGACGTCTCTGCTATGACTGATTCATGAGCTCGGTGGTCAAGTCGCTCACAGCGCAAGACGGCTGGTGAAAATGTCAGCCTGTAAGCCGTGAAAAACACTGCTTTGCTGCTCTTCACTCAAACACATGAAATCAAGACGGCATTCACAGAAACAGAAACTTTCACTTCTTTGCAAAGAAAACATCTCCTATCCCCGGTTTATACTGCGGGAAAAAAAAAAACAACACACGCACAGGCATCCATCAGCGGAAACAGTCACAACACGCTTACTCGCCGTAGCATCAAAGGGAAGAGGGGCTCTTTTGAAAATATTACAATTACACTTCAAGGGATGCAAAACCTTGTGCTGCTTCTTGAATGTACCCCGGGCCTCGTTCATCGTCTAAGATCAAACGTATCTTCTCTGCTTGTTCCTTAATAAAAGGAACTCACCAGCAAAGCTCCCTTTGTTTTGTTTTGCCATTAATACCACGACAGGCACACTACACTCCCAACGCATGCACGAGGGGGGGAAAAAATGAGTTTTTTCCTAATTAAACCGCATCCTCTGATGGTGCCGCCCGTTCTCACATATGCCGTTAGATGTGAGGATGACAAAATGTGTAATAGGTTGTTTTCATTAACTGTCACAAGAAATCTCCAGTCAAATTCCTCCCCAGGACTTTGAAAGGTCAGCCTGATGCTCTTATGGAGCGAGCAGGCCCGATGCAGGGCGGCCATTAGCCGCTGCATGAGCGCATGTGGGTTCAGACTAATGAGAGCAGAGGATAGCACAGGTGTGTTTTCATGCTAAACAGCAGCCAAAGCCACACAAATCAATCAATCACTTCATTATTATGCAAAGTTGACAGGAAAAAGGAGAGCAGTGCAAAATAACACGAGTTCCCTCGGAATTCTTAACATCCAGGCAAATGTGGCTGAGAAGAAGGGAGTCAGTGCTGCTTTGGTTTGGACCCAAAACACCGAGGATGCACAAAAGCTCCAGACGGTCAAATTCCACTCCTCCTACAAGCTGAAATAACACATAGGATGCGCAGTGCACGCATGCTCTCTGACATTTTGGATGATGGTTTGCGGTTTTTGAAATCAATTCTCTTCCATCCTATTTCCATTGGAGCGTGCATGGTTTCCATTAGGACCGACAGCTGGAAACGGGCAGTTTCTGTGTGTTGTGCGATCATTTTCAGAGGATTTTTACCAGCCGATCAACAACATACTGTTTTTTCTAGCACTCTGTGTGTGATACACTAAACTCGACAGTATTAAAACAGCCAAAGTTAGTCTGTGTGTCATCATTCTAATAAAGAACTGAAGAGAAAGTGAGAGGGACGGAGGCAGGAAAAAAGGGGAGCCTGGGAGACAAGAGAAAAGCAAGAAAAGCTTCTCAGGCAGAGCACTTCTTCTCTTGAGAGGATTCCCACCTGGTAGCAATTTGGGCTGTGCCTGGTAAAGCAGGCCCTGGAAAGGAAAAATAATGTCTGTTGGGTTAGTGGTTTCATTTTTCAATCAAATAAATCACGACCTTACAGAAAATAATTTTTGTCTTTTAATGGCCTCCCCAGTGTTTGAAGTTCCCCGAGGGACAGCTGGCTTTGAAGTCTGTGAGGGGAGGAGCAAATTCCCCTTGGAGTGTGTGTACGTGTGTCGGGTGCGTGTGTGCGAGACGGACTGGGCTGACTGTTCGTTTCATTGCCTGCTAAAAGTCGTGAAATAGCACACCTGAGGTGGTGCCGACGAAAGGCGACGGATGAAGAAATCAAAGTGCTGGAGACTAAATGAAATTCCTGCGAAAGGCAGGCGCTGGCGGAAGATGTCACAATGTGACGGCTTCATAAAGCTGAAGCCCATTCGTATGGAGACCACCGCAATGCCTTTTAATGGGTAATGAAAGGAGCTTTTGGAATGAGAATGCACCCACTAAAACAAGCCCTTCCCACTGCTCAGAGCTGTGAGTTTATCATTGGTGCTCAGAGGGCTGCGAGGGGCCGGAACCTCCCCGTGGCACAGTGTCCACACTCTGTTTTGGGATGGGAATGTGCACTGGTTGTTGCTTCCTATTAACGCAGAGCAGAGCTGGAGCTGATTAAAAGAATCCTGCAGAATAATCTGTGGGTGGTGAACGGGGCTCCATCACTTTCCCTTTGCACTCACATGACAGATTTCGGCAGACGAGGAGAAGCTTCTGTGCACAGTTTCCTGCAGAAAAATGCAACATTCTGATTTCACATCGTTGTTCAATTTTACACTAATTTGGTGTTATTCAACCTGTTTTTTTGTTGTTGTTTTTGAGTTGATCCGTGGAGAGAAGATAAAAGCCAGTCATGACTTTTTTCAGACCTGATAAGAAATTAGTAATTTCTTATCCCCCAGTAACATTTTCAAAAAGACTTCCAGAGTATCTGAGTCAGGCTTTAAGTAGAATGACTATATTTCAGCATATCCACGCTCTCCAATGAATACTCCAAAAGAAAACAAAACCTTCCATGCTAAAGAAACGTGGCCAACAGGAACAAACTCTAAGTGGGATCAAATTTGATCTAGACACATAGGAAGAAAAAAAACACATACGCAGAGGAGAACGCACGTGCACAAATTACACGTGCAAAGCGCCACAAGGGAAGGCTACGTCAGCCTCTGGGCGCACGGCGGAGGCAGCCACACCAAACGTGTCGACAGACAGATGACTACCTTTACAATGAAGGCTGAAAATACTCCTGTCAAAGCGCCGTCTGCCGGAGCTCCTTCGCAGCTTTCCATTTGGACCTCTCGTCCAAGCGAGCGGGGTTTTGTCACGCACCAATTTTTCAAAAGGTCTGAAAGCCGTGGCCTTTTATGACACATGTGCCTGAGCCAAAGCTGCTCAGAAAAAACACGCTCCTGCATCTTGCCGTCTGCGCTCCGGTCCTGAGGTGTTTGCTCAAGCCAAACCCACGGGGACAAAGAAAGACAAACTCACACACCGATCCCTCAAAGAGGTGTGGGCATTTCCTGGATTTAATCAAAAGCTAAAACACACTTGCTTGTCTTGCGCACACCCATGAGAACCGGTGTTAGCGTCTCTATTCAGAGCCACCGACTTTCCAGGTCAAACAGCGCACACACACACACACACACACACGCCGATTTGCGGCCTGATTTGAAAGCCGCTCCCTCACTACACGGACTCTTCAGAGTGGAGAGGAGAGAGTTGATTCTTGGGGGGGAATTAAAAAAAAAACTGCAATAATCCCAAAGACATTTACAGTGGTGATACGGAGCAATTAGGGAGATCGTCTGAGAAGGAGAAACGCTTCCAGGAAACAGCAGTGTTTGATGGGTAAATACTGAATCAGCGAAAACCACCAGGGCATCACCTGACCTCCCTCCGCTTCTCTGTTTCGCTGTGTACAGTCAACAGGAACACCTACATTCTGGGGGTGTCAACAGAGATTTCTGGATAGCTGACGTAAGTGAAGCGACCTCTGCCCCAGCAGAGACGGCAGCAGGGCCTAAACCCACACCTGCATCTTGCTGTGAGGCGTTTCAGTGAGCTGCTGGTCACCTGTGGGGAAAGTGCAAATCTGTTGCTTGTTCTGATTTGCTTTTTGTTGTGGGGGTATGTGTCTGGGCCTGCTGGGATTTAACACGCCTGCAGGGCCCCCTTCAACATCCCTCACTCACTTTCTCCCTCAGGTTTCTTTGCACTTAAGGTGCCTCTCGGCCCTGTGTCCTGCTTTCAAAGAAAGAGTGATTAGAGGGATCAGAGCGAGGAGCGGTCTGGTGCTTGACCTCTTTATCCAGACGCTCGGCGCTGCATGCGTCTTAAGAGTCTAAATTACGGAGAAAAAGTTTCGAATGAATCCTTGCTGCCTGAACTTTACCCAGCAGAGCTCTGGGCTTCCGTCTCTTGGTGTGTGTAATCTCTTTTGCAAAGCTGCTCCCATCTGATGAGCAGTTTCAATCATACTAATGATAACAATGTCATTATAAGCACCATATGTGTCATAAGGGGGCTATTTGACAAACCATGACCATGATAGTTAGGCTTAAGCACTGTTTGCACACACACACACACGGCGGCACATCAAAAGACTCGCCTGTGACGTGTTATTTTGCGCTGCTGTTTTTTTTTGTCAAAATGAGCATTGTGCAAGCTCCGACAAGCAAGAGGAAACAAAAAAGGGAAAAACCACTTGCCTTACTTGCCTGAGTGTTTTATGAAAAGTTTGAGAGAGGAGACAAAGAAATATTTCTATTAAACTTTAAGCAAATATGATCCAAGGACTCATCTTGGCAGTTAATGTCAGCACTGTGGGATTCCTTCACAGCTCCAGCAGTTCAACTTTTATGCAACTTTTACTATCTAGACTGAGTTGGGAACATTGAACTCCCTCTCAGTTTAACTTGTGCCCATGCGATGCATCTTAAACCCCTGCCAGTTTATTTTTTGTGGAAGGGCTCAGAGTGATAAGGTCGTGGTGGCGGCAGGTACATGAGATACAGGTGCAAACATGGCCGCCGCTGCAAACACGCTCCTGGCACACTTTTTGTTTCTGGGAAAAGCGCAAGACTGCACGAACATCTGTTGGCTGTATTAGATCAAACCAGGGGGACTAATCAAGGCGTAATGTACACCAGTCTTAAAAGAGGTCACTTTGAATGGGGAGCAAATCTGTGTCACTAATCACATCCTTTCAGTCTGCCCAGTCTGAGCGTATTTACTAAATGTCTCCCTGGAGCAGAGACAGGCTGGACCGCAATGATAAAAAGGATCTTATGAGCGGAGTATGCACGTTTCAGCCGGCTCTCAACACTAATAACAGGCTAACACTTGAACAGCTGGTTTTTTTTTAAGATGAAAGAAAAGAAGAGGCTACGGAGTGTAAAGAGATAAGCGAGGTGAAGGAGACTAAAAAAATGAAAGCAACAAAGTGAAAAGTAAAAGAATATCAGAGAGGGAAATGGAGCCAAAGCACGTGTAGACCTGCGTATGACAGATTCACCAGACAGCTGGCAGCCTGCCCCCCACTGTGGAGATACTCCAGTCTGGAGAGCAGCTCCACATGTCACTGATAAGCATGAGAGTTAAACAGACTCATATTCAACAATAACCAGATAAAAGATGAGTTTAAGAATTTTGTTTCCCGCAGATGTTAAATGACATCTGGACATCTGTCACTGGATTTATCTGCATTCATCACAGCTATGTAGGGGCACAGAGGCAGGGCGGGGTCCAAGCAGGGGGTCAATGTGGCCAGTGGGAGGCCTGTGGATTACAGTACGATTAAGGTTGGAGTATTCCAGTTTAAACTTGTATCAGTAGCTGCCAGAATAATATCATACAAGCTGAGATTCATCCATAAGAGGAACCACACTTCCTATCATGTTGAACTAAAACAGATTTTAATGTTGGTGGCTACCAGAGGACCTCGTATGATTTCAGACGTCCAACATCTGTTTTCCATACAGCACGAGCACACGACACATTATGTAGATGGAATTCATTTACGTAAGGGAGGTTTGATGATTTTAATTCTGTCTGGATGGTTTTAATCCCAGCTGGGCCAGATGTGCTTGTGTTTCTTTCCCCTCCATAACGGTAGAAATTAGTCTTAAATATGTACTGTAGATCCAAATCAAGGGGCCTGTATGGACATATGGTGTTACTAATTGAAAAAAACAAACACCTGGACTTACATTTGTGATTTTCCAACCTCTTTTTAGTAAGATTATTAAGGGGAAAGAATTCCTAAATAAAAGCATGCAGCACTAACCTGTCATATAAATTAATTAGATAAATCATTATTGGACTGGAACCATGGAGGGATATGGACATATCAGCCAACTGCACCATTTGGATTTGAGGAGATGGTAAAAACTTAATGTATAGAGCAAAGAGCGATTTGATCTATAACTCACATCCCAGAATTCTCAGTGAAAGAGGGAATTAGACACAAAGTCTGAGAATGCTGCTGGTTGTGTGCAGTTAATTTCTTTTCAAGAATACAAAAGATAGTACCATGACTTTGCGGTTCCACAATAACGTCAGATAAAAGAGAAAGTATGATAAAGGTTACATAGATGGCCGCAAAAAGACTTCTGAAAAGAGGACCTTTATCTTCCTACCTTTTCTTGAATCCTGATACACTGCAGAGGAAAGACAGCAGCTTTGCACCAGGGTTCAATATTCAGTGTCTGGATAGAAATACTGCCATGATCAATTATTAATGTTTTTTAAAAAAAGGATTTCAACATTAAAGTCTCATTTTTTCAAAATGAACCCAAAACGAGTGCAGGATGGACGTTGATGATCAGCAGCGACTGCTGAAACACGGCCGTCTGCGCACCTCTGCAATGCTAATGATTCATCCAGCACAACGCGGTTCATTCTGCGTCGGCAAGCCTGTGTCACACTCAGCCTTATAATGTGCTAATGTTGTCACAGAGGCATTATCTTTTCACTCTGAGCAAGTGATGTGCTAATGCTGGTAGACAGGCTCGAGGTTAATTATGGCCAGAGGCCCCTTTGAGAGATGCCAGGAGAGACCTGGTGGCCCCATAAGCTCTGGCCCCGCGGAGCTCTCTTAGCTCCTTTGCGCAACACAGCTATCCATTGTGTTGGGCTGAAAAAGCGCATTAACGGCTGAGAAAAGGGCTTTCCCTCTGAAACCCCCTTGGACAACAAGCAAAGCTCTGCTTGATAATTCAATCACTCTTCGAGCTGTGCAGGGCAGAACCGCACAAGCCCCTTACAACCCTTCCTCAGCGCGCTCCCTTTCCTCCCTCCCTTGTGTCCTTCATTAGGTAACTGCCCTATATTTTACAGATGCTGTCATTCCTGCTGCTTATCAAAGGACAATGGAAGAATGATGCCTGTGAGAGAGTCGTTGACATTTGAATATCAGCGGCGGTGAATTATGGCTTTATGCAATGGATCTTGGAAGAAGGACATAAAAAAGATAGGGATTTGTGTGCAGTGGTGATGCAGTGGTGGAGGAGGGAGGCAAAGGAGATCTGCGCCTGAGAAATTTCAAGGAGAGAAGAGAAAAGGAGAGGGGAAAAAAACAGGAGTTGT